CAAGTTATAACCACAATAATAATTCTAAGATATAGTTAAAAACTTATAAACTAAAACCTTAGGTTGCGGACAGTTTTTTTTAGAGGATGAAATTGTGTTTAAGGACGCTATTCAGAAATGCCGTCAGAAATGCTATTCTAAGTAACAGCCGCTGAGTATTTCACTGATATTAAGCCAAAGCGAGTAATGTTAAGTTTATTCACTTGAATGTTGTGAATCGATGTGAATCACTTGAATCTCAACACTGTAACCAATACGATTAGAGAGAGAAACAGCTTTAGAAGACTGGTCGCTGTATATATAGATAACGAAATTCTCTTTTATGTAACCTATTCAGTTTCTTCCTATTAGACTAAGCAGTGATGCCATATCGAGGAACAATAATTAAGATAAGACATAATGAATGAGTTACACAATGTAGACTGAGACATATCTTAGTTCGAAACGATAATATGTTCTTCAGTCTAGAAAATGCGTCCAGCTGCTTTCCGACTTTCTTGCTGATTTTTGTAATGTAATTCTCAAACTTCGGTGAGTCATCAAGAACTACTATGTGGTATATTTACTCCTTCAGCACACAAGGACAGATTAATATTGGGTTTACGCGACAAGCAGAACCAGAGACTTGCACTTTTAGCGTTTAGGATCATCCTATTATTTCGCCACTAATTACGCACAATCGCAAGTTCCTTGATGAGAACATTTTCAACAACAGCAGCGTCAGAGCTGATTATCGTAAGCGTAATTTGTCAGCTGAGCCTCTTACATGAAGTAAAGTAAGTCACTGATGAAAATATTGATCATTACAACAAGAGATCTAAGACAGAACCTTGTGTAGCACCATTTTTGGTAGATGAAGTATTCTTGTATGGTGGCTTACAAAAGCATGAAGCATGATACATATATACATACACGCATACACCAATACACGTACACACGCACACATACACACATACATATCCTTTATTTAAACACGATAAGAATTAAAGCTCAAAGCTTGTGGGGTCGTGTAATGGTTTATGGCTGGCTTACAAATGGGAAGGTTGTCCATCAAAGGCTTTCTGCTTCAGCTTTTCGGCCAAATTGCCTGAATAATTCCGGTTACCCTTTTTTTATACCCCTAGGGATTCTTAGTAAGGAGGAGCCCTGCGAGAGTAAAATATCTAGTTGAAGAATATAACATGGGGACCATCACTTGCTTTCTATGAAACTCTTTATCTGGCGTCTAATACGCAAAATTACACTGCACCTCTCAGCAATAACGAACAATATCATTTTCATCAATGGAAGACGTGACATTGGCTTTTTCTCGTTACAATATTAATACTTAATCAAGCAGACAGATGATGGGAACAACGAAATCATCAAACGATCTATTACCAAATTCTCCGAAGTAGCCGAATTAAAGAAATGTATAGCAATTAAAATGGACAATATATATAATTATATTTTTTACATTTTGAACTGAGATATTTTAACTCACTTAAGACAAACATTTAAAAAAAACAACAACAAAAAAACAATCGTGTCAACTCACCCAGATGACAATGCGAGTGCAACCTTCTCAAGTAAAGCTTGGCGTTTAGGCTGTCATCTGTGCACTTCTGTTCAATTCCTTCAGTGTAGCAACTTAAAGCTTTTCTGAAGTCATTTTTAACGTGCTCTAGTTCTCCTTTGAGGAATTGTACTCTTGCTGAGAGAATCAAAACGCGAATTGAAAAGCTATTTTGTGAGCTTATTTAAGTGTTAACTGTCGTTAAACCAAACTAAAGTGGTCACAATAAACGTTAACAATGTTTTAACACAATAAAGCAACGAGAAC